GTTGTGATTGTGATGGTTATAACCAAAACTAAAGATTATTTCAAGATTAAAACGTCAAGACAATTTACGAATATTGTTACATTATTTTCAATTTATCAAAACTATTGAAAGAAACATATAGCATAAAAATCTGCAGTGCTACCAAAAATTTCCATTCATATTTTTAAAAATTGTGTAAATTTTTGTAAAATTTTTGTAAATTATAAATCGTAAAAATTTTGTAAGTTTTTGTTTCACTAGCAGCGACAGATTGAAACAAAGATTTGTATTGGTTCAATAAAACGCTCCTATAAAATACGATGCTATTTCGGGAGAAATTTCATTGAAATCTATTTCAAATTAATTCGATATAATCCTATTTCCGAGTGCTTGTGTTCTAAGCACAGAATGACGCTATTCGAGAAGTTCGTGCAGTATGATTCTATTTAAAATTAGAAATCTACATAATACTATTATAGCCGAAATTCAATAATATTCGAACTTGGCATTGAGTTCTCTATGATTCTACCTCGTTCTAGATGATTCTATGACGTTCTATATGACTCGTTGCTAAATTAATAGAATTATAATTAGACTTAGATTAGAAGGGAAGTTAGAATCGTATTGAGTCTTCGCAGTAACAGAATAACGGTTGAAGGCTAATTTTAAATAAAATCACATGTGACACCCATTTTTCAAATAGTATCATATTGAATTGTTTTTTAGATACGTTTGTGTGAAATACATTTTCGAGACAGCATTATATCAATAGGAACAGTCGAATCAAAATGATTCATTTTTCGATAAATAAGTCGTGTTTATATTGATTAAAAATATATTACGAATAAAAATACAATATAGACCAAAAGTATCATGTCGAGAAATATATATTATAACAAAGAAAGTAAGCTTTGTTTAAAGTCGATCAGTCAATTAAGTATTAAGTTAGCCTACACACTAATTTAAAAGAAAACACGTTTAAGTTTTTCATGCTTATTGTTTGAAAGTAATGTCTAAAGTACATATTTGCATTATAAATAAGAATGTAAAGTACATTACATTCTTATTTCTACAAATTCGACTACAGAATTCGTAAATTCGCATCGACTGCAAATTCCATGTAACAAAATGTTTCGTAACCTTATTATTGAAAGAGATATTTAAGTGGAAACGTTTAGGTGGACCACTCTGTACAAAAAAGATACGAACGAAAACCGAAGGTAGCACACACATTTTAATTTGAAATGTACAAGAAAATACTAAGGCCTAATATCAGACCTAATCTCATTTGTCATTTAAAACTATAATATTCCATGAAAATATTTTTTCTCAACCCTCAAGTCCTTTCGCGAGGTAGATTTTCTACCCCACGTAGGTATAACAAACTACATCTGAAAACCTGACAAATTCAGATTGTAATACGAAAGTATGATTTCAACTAAAACAAACATTTGTAAATATGAAGCCTGCAGAGATATTAGCAGTTCTTGCTTACGTGAGTTTATACAGCGAAGGACCTCGAGGGTTGAACACGCGCAACGTTGAAAAATGTGATTCTATCCATCGAATATTTTTCAATCGCCGAATATAACCCAATGGACGTTACTCAAGATCATGTCCTTGGCAACAAATATCAAAGTCAACGCGATCGTTCTCCGAAACATTGTACGAAATTCGAAAAATCGAGCTAACCGATTTTACCTGTGAAAGGTTCACATGAAGGTTCAAGGTTTCAACTTGCACTCTGTTCCAGATTATGGCGCGGTTGAACCGGGCCAACGCGAGAGGACAGACGTAGGCACGGATGAAGCGCAAAAAGGGTAACGAGGACGAGGAGGAGGAGGAAGAAGACGAAGACGAAGAAGAAGAAGAAGAAGACGAAAAAGACACAGAGGAAGAGGAATCAGGACAGGAAGAAGAGGAGGAACAAAAAGAAGGAGAAGTAGAAGTTGTCGTAAGTCAGAGAATCGCGACCGAGGAACCGCCGAGTATAAAGAACGAGAAGGCCGCACCAAGAGCAGCACCAGCAGCAACAGCAGTCGGGAGCAGGCTGCTAGTATCATCTTGGCGCGGTGCGTTTGATGCTAAACAGAAAGAGGCTCGAGGACGACACAACGCTGGCGGACGGGGAACGTAATGGGAGCGCCGTGGTCACGGGCCCGGTGCTATCGTCGTCGACGTGCACGGTGCCCTACATCGGCGCCGACCAGGGCTTCGTGTTCGAAGGTGGCGGCCCGACGACGTTGCAGTGGGCCGGCGCATCTGTCTCAAGCTGCACCGGTGCCGGAGGAGGACCCCTCGGAGTCGGTGTCGGCTCAGGAACCGGCGGAGGTGTAATCGGTTTGGGGGTCAGCATGGGCGGAGCTGGAGGGATCGCCATAATCGGCGGAGGTAAAGTCGGAGGAGCCGGCGGAGGAGTAGGAGGCGCAGGTGGTGGAGGGGGAGCGAACAAAGAGGTCCGTTATGCTCCGTTCTCGACGACCGTGGGTTCAGCGAGTTCCGTAGGGCCGGTGAACCTCCCGATGAACCTCCCGGTGAACCTGCCGCCGCCGCCTTTGCCGCCGCCGTTGCCACCGCCGCTGCCGCCGCCGCCACCGCCCCTGCCGTTGCAAATGCAGCAGCAACGGGCGTTCTCGAGGTCGATGACGTCCCTGCCGCCCGAGCCGTTCATGATCATGAGGTCGAAGGCCCTGAACCGGCGGGTCTCGATCAACGTCGGCGGCGTGAAGCACGAGGTGCTGTGGCGCACCCTCGAGAGGCTACCGCACACCCGACTCGGTCGCCTCAAGGATTGCAACACCCACGAGGCGATCACCGAGCTCTGCGACGACTACTCTCTGATCGATAACGAGTACTTCTTCGACCGGCACCCAAAATCCTTCAGCTCCATCCTGAACTTCTACCGGACCGGCAAGTTGCATCTCGTCGACGAGATGTGCGTGCTGGCTTTCAGCGACGACCTCGAGTACTGGGGCGTTGACGAGCTCTACCTGGAGAGCTGTTGCCAGCACAAGTACCATCAGAGGAAGGAGCACGTGCACGAGGAGATGCGCAAGGAGGCCGAGTCCCTTCGGCAGAGGGAGGAGGAGGAATTCGGCGAGGGGAAGTGCGCGCAATACCAGAAATGGCTCTGGGACCTTCTCGAGAAGCCGACAACCTCGATCGCCGCCAGGGTGAGTTGCGTCGTCAATGATCATCGCCCGCGTTTGGCGTGTCTCTGGCTCTCCTTTTTTCCGTTTTCTAGAGATCTATTCAGATCCCGTAGAGACCACGCGATCCGGAACGTCGCGTCCTCTTCCGCGGTGTCTCGCTTCCGCGGTGTCGCGGTACCGGGTACACCCGGTGGGACAAAAATTGGAATGGTATTCTGAGATCGGACTCTGGGGCAGCGGAATTTGAACTTGAGCCAAGAACACGGGTTGTCGCAACGACGCTGCGTGTCATTTGGCATTGACGGACCGCCACCGTGGGTCGACCTTGTTGATCGTGTCTCAAATTCTTTCGATGTTTCATCGTTCGGACCTAGTTTCCCCGGTAATAGGTTCGCGCCGATTCGAGCATTCGTCTTTTCTCTTTCATTTTCACTTTCTTTTGTCGCTCGTCGCGTCCTCTCGAATCTTACAAAACGTTTTTTTCACTTACACTTCGGACTGTATCAGCGATCCTCTCTGGTTTCGCTGAAACTTGTTTGCAATTCGTCGAAATATATTTGTGAAGATTGTTTGTAACATACTGACACAAGGCTATCCTTTTTCGATATAAATACTTCGAACGTTTTCTACGATACAAGCCCATACATCGCTTTCTTGAACAATCGATTTGCGACTAAAATTTTTAACCCTTTGCAGTCCATGTTCTTTTTCATGAGGGAAGATATGGTCATATACAATAAAATTGGAAAGAATTCTTTTATTTGAATTTTTTAGATGTTGTGTACGTGTTGAAAGTTCTTTTTTAAATATATGACTCTACGAGATATTTTTTCAAATGAAATTGGTTAATCAATCAATAAGTACGCTGTAGTACATCGTTATAACCTTTCTATTAAAGTTTTATCCTAAAAAAGATAGTTATAGAATACATTTTAGATACTTACTTTTACCACATCTGTATAGTTTAAATAATAAAACAATAAATAAGAATCACGGTTGGAATTAATTGTTCATGTAAATTAAGATGACAGGTGAGACTCATTGTTGGACTGTAAAGGGTTGAGGAACTTTTCGAAACATGAGCGGCTTAATACCAATTTGTTGACGCTTATTAGTAGACTGCGGATTTTATTTGAAAAAACATCAGAAAAAAATTCAGAAGTTTGCTTTCTTTTCTTCGGTTTATTAAAATTATTAAGAGAGGAAGTACAACTTTATTTAGTTTCTGTTGCTTTTGCAAAAAGATTCGCAGTATATTTATGCAAGGTTGAAACTATCCCTTAACCTTTATACTTTTAAAGAACGATACATCGTTGAACAAATTTGGTTCCCTCAATATTTTTTAAAAATACTTTCTGAATTTTCTAATTATCACACGTTTTACGAAATTTTCATATAATATGTTTCTGAAACTTTATCAAAGTACGTCAAACAAGTTTGGTATTTTTCGCTCGTGTCGGATACACGCAACCCTTTTGATTGGCACTAAAATGGTTAATGACGGCTGGCTGTACCCGTGAAAACAAACTTTCTAAAAATGCGCTTGTTCGCAAAAAATAAAATACTGAAGATAGAAACTCTCAACTTTGGAAACTATTTTCAACCCCCGAGTGTATAAATAACCATCGCTGAAAGAAGTACGCGTCGAGAACGTTTACGAGTACTATACATATTGCACGCAAGTTCGATCGAAGTTGGAGAGGATTTTCTGCGTAACAGTCCTTGCGTTTTCCGGTTCGTTTACCTCGGTACGATCGGTGAACCGATTTTTCGATTTTCCGAGTTTGTTCCGCGGCATTCGCAGTTTATCTCTTATTTCCACTTACTTCCGTTCAGTTCCGACTCGAAAATTTCGCGTGTGAGAGAGAACGATTTCTCTTTTTCCCGCCGGCGTATTACGGAGAAATCGTTGTTCTCGGCGAACGACTGACCGATAACAGCTCGCGTTCACCTATCGCGCGAAAATTCCTGCCGAATCTGTCTACTAATCTACTTACGATGTCTCCACGTTTACAGTTTGTACTGGAGCCTCGGTTTGACGAAAGGTATTACCAAGTTGATAGTAGAAAACATTGGTTCGACGTAGCTCACGTATTAACATAGAGAAAGAAAGTAGTGAGAACGTTTGCGACGTATGCGATCTTTTGACATTGATATCACTGTAGATCGTTGGCTCGGATAGCAAATCGTCTGATCGGGTTTGGATCCTGGCTTTCTCATCGTTTTCTCGCTTCAGGGTATATTGGATTTGCTTGGGAACGTGTGCGAACGACAAGACGAAACAATCGGAACATGGTTTTCACGTAGTTCTTTAACAGCACGTCGCGTGTTCGCGATCAATATTTGCGGGATGTTGGTTGAACGGAGGGGAACGTTAGAAAATCGTGGTAAATTTCATCGACATGCACAACGAAATCGTTTGAAATTGGTGAAATTTAATATGAAATTGCTTTTCAAAATTCTTTAGAAGGAACCATTGCTATTGGGGGGAGGGGGGCGGTGAACAAAACAGCTTAACGAACCTACTCGATCATTTTTGAAGATAAGTCAGCCTTTCTGCGAAAAGCAACTGCGCAGTTGAATTCTAGCGAAAGTTACAATTGAAGGAAATTCGAATTGATCCAAGATATTCGAGATCGAAATTACATCGGCGAAGAAGTTGATGTTCGTCACGGAACGTGTATCGCTCCGTTTCCGAACGAGCAAACCGCCGAATCAATTTCAGCAAGCTCTTCGAAACTGTTGCGGAAAACAAAGCGCAGATCAATTTCCCCAGCAAAAGAACCACCACGATTTTCGTCGGGTTATTAGAGCGCGGCCAATTATCTCACGTCAAAGCCAGATCGAAATCACGTGAACCGAGCATAGTTGATCGATTACTCATTAAACAGACTCTAATTAGAGAGACCCTCATCTTGTTACGTAGCATCGACGCTTTTGGTTCGTTCCATTGACCGAACTCTACTCGCTAGATGAGTACCATGTAAATATGTACATGTCCATATACATGTAAATACGAGCAACATATGTGTGTACCTGTGCGCGTACGTACAGAGGAACCGTAGAGACAAAGAGAGCGAGATGCTCCGATACGCCGACGTGAATTGTAAAATAGAAAGCGAACGTTTTACGTTGCCGTCGAAACGGAAAGCTGCGGGAAAGGAACAAACGGATAAATGCCGGAACAGATACCATAGCAATCGCCGATCGTGGTTCGCTATCGTCGCCCGGTTGTGTCGATGTCTGTAATGTGTATTTTATTTCTAGGTGGTGTTAACCGAGACCCGTGCACTAATCTCATTTCTCGCCTAATCCAGCTACTTAGTTATTAGCCCTTAAAAAGAAAAAAAGAAAACCACGAAAAACCCTACGTCTCGAAAACCGAAAAGATAAGTCAAACAAAGCCAAAGAAAAGCAATGAGAGAAAAGATAATCACCCCCCGAATGCCCCCCACCCACCCGGGGCCATGATACGGTCCGCGATGATAATGGGAGTGCATAATACGCGATTACCAGGTATCACGAAGATTCTTTCTCGACACCGCTCCCTGTGAGATGTCATAGTAACTTCGCTACCAGCGAATTCAATTCGATGTGTGCGAGCGCGTACCAACACGCATGAAAAGTCGCGCGACTAACCAGAGTTCGAGAAGTAGTAAACGAACGAAGCAATAAAGAAATGTCAAAGAAGACACGAACTAACTTCTCTGTCGACCGTACGAACAATCAGCAACGGGTGACGTTCCGTGGAGCAGACGAATCCGACGTTTGTTCGAAAAGAAACGTAGCGCCGAAGCATATACATAGACCGTCCCTCCGTAGCCTAACGATGCACGTGACACTAGCCTAGCCTCGCACTGATAGCGCGTACGCTCTAGATCGTAGCGAGCTCTCTTAGTGATCGATGTTTCTTTTCGGCCAGGCACGTCGAATTCGTGGACGGATACCCGGCTGATCATCGATTACTTTATTCGAGTACAGTGATTAAGGCACTCAGGCGGCGCAGTTTCATAAACAATATACTTACACACCACAGACAATACACATTGCACACACTGTTGCTCTGTGAATGAAACATGATGCGGGGTAAAGAAAGCAGCACCTGTGTCCCCACCGAACCCCTCACCCTTTCTCAATGACAACATCAAAAACAAAAAAAAGAAAAGACACAAAGAAAAAATGAAAAAAAAGAAACAACAAAAGATGTGTCTCCGCGCCACGTTCACCAAATCTCTCTCACACCGAACCAGCCAGATATCTCTTTGAACCCCTGTCTGTCTATTTCCCTGTTCACAATCTTCGTCTCTTTGCTAGTTCGCGAAGATCACAAAGATCGCGATTCCGGATCGGCCTTTTTTAAACGTAGCTCTATCGCTTGGCCCGCGCGATCGGTCTCGGCCGCAGCATGCTGAACGCTTCAACGGACGCCGCAACTTCCATAGTACAGTAGAAGTGTCCCCTGAAGACCTCCTCCGGGCGTCTACTTGTCGCAAACGACCTAACGAGGTGGCGAACTCGCCGGAGCCGCGAACCGAAGTTCTGCTACAGGGACAGAGCCTGACCCAGCCAATATCCTCGAGATTACCGCCGTTTTTTCTATGTTAATTCTCATCTGCTCTTCCAGCGATTCTTATTCGCATTGCCTGTTTTAAAAGCTCGAGTTTGCCCGGACACTTTTCAAGTCGGCATAACCACTTGACTTGGAATATCGATTCGAACGCTGCACTAATCTTGGAAACATTGTTGAAACGGTTTGCTGTTACTTGCAGAGCGTGGCATTCATGGCTGGATGTTCATTCCGGATCCAAGATTATGAATTTATTCGGCCGTAACAATCATGATTTGTGACAGCTATGATCTGTAACAGCTCGATAGATGGTTCGATCAGCTCACACAAATACGGTAAATTTGCCCTAATAGACGCACAAATTGTACAGAAAAATGGACAATTTGGGAAGAGGAGATACGATTGTTCGAGGCTTGAGGCTCGTTTTTATAGTTATCGATTGTCAACAACTATA